AAAAAAATAAGAATATATTGAAGTAAAATTTAGCAAAGCCAACAAGTATAAAACAAAATTGATGTGAAAAAATAATAATAATGATTAATTATGAACTCCAAAATGTGTTCTTTGAGAATATTGATAAATTAACTTATTTTTAGCAAAAGTGATGAAGGATAAAAGGCATAAATAAGTTAATTTTAGAAATAGAAAAGAAGACAAAATGGCATTAAATGGCAGTTATTTTTTTAAAGCATAAGAATAGAATGAACAACTAAATGCAAATCAATTTAGAAGAAAAACATCTTAAAAATCTGAATATACTTATAACTATTTGAATAATATTTGTTTGCAAATATTAATGAAATGAAATGAAATAAAAATATAAAAATATATATTATTCCTCCCCACCCCTCTTCACAGAAGGTATCAGGATCAAATAGGTTTATGCATGAATCCTAGCACTCCTTTGTAAAATGGATGATCGCTCATGTTATATAAACTTTTACAGAATCTATGAAAAGGAGCAAAGATTTCTAAATATTTGTGAGATTGCCCTAGCCAGTTTGGCTCAGTGGATAGGCCTCGGCCTGCAGACCAAAGGGTCTCAGGATTCAATTCAGGTCAAGGACAGTTACCTTAGTGGCAGTCTCCTCCCCACATGAGCCCTGGTCAGGACTCATGCAGGGGCAACCAATCAATGTGTTTCTCTCCCATCAATGTTTCTCTCTGTCTTTCCCTCTCTCTTCCACTCTCCCTAAAAATCAATGGGAAAATATCCTCAAGTGAGGATTAACAACAACAAAAAATTGTGAAATTGTATAATACAGTTATCAAAATAAGAAAAGAACAAATGAGAAGTGAAATGATCAGTCACATAAATATATATGCAAATATCCGAAAATAGTAATAACATAATACAGAATACAGATGACCAAACAGAGTTCATTCCAGGAACATATGCATTTTATTTCACAATATAAAGTGAAAAATCTTACAATTATTTCAAAATATTATTCAACAATTCTTTATAATAAAACCTCTTAGCAAAGTAAGAATAGAAATGATCTTTCTCATCTAATAAAGGAACATTTCCAGAAAAGTATAGAAAACATCTTTTTTTTAAATAATAAAATCTTGGAAACATATTTAAAGTGAAAAACACAAAGCAAGGACCAAAGAATGCTGTTCTCACTGTCCCCATTCCACACTGCACTGGCAGTCCTAGGCAAGATAATGCGAACAGTCAGCCAAAGCTATGGAAATGTGAAAGGAATAAACACAATTATCCTTTTTCAATAAGTAATTGTTTACATTGAAACTAAGAAAATAAAAACCCTATAATCAAGTATTAGAATATACAGGAGATTAATAAAAAGGCTCATTGTAAGACCAGGATGCAAAATTAAATAGCATGCTTTTACACAATAGAATATGTTATACATGTTATAATTTGTTAACAGAGAAACTAAAAATAAATGTATTAACAGTTGTATAAAACCTTTATGAAGAAAAAAAATTTTATTAAAAGCAACTGAAATAAATTGAGAGACATAACATGTTCATTGATGGAAGACTCAGTATAATTTCCTCAAATGGGTATATTACTTTAATGCAATCCTAATAAAATCCTGAAATGACTTTTCATGATACATGCCAAACTAATATATAAGTTCATATGAAAATAATGGTCCATAAGTATCCCCAAAATTGAGTAATAATAATTACATGAGTATAATGATGATGGTTATAGAAGACCCATCATTTCATTCATTATAAAGTTATATTAATTTAAAAAGTATGGCACTGGTTAAAATCAAATGTAATAGCAAGGCTATAAACAAATCCATATATAAATTAGATCTCATTATATGACAGCAGCTTAATTAATACTTCAATAAATTAAGTGAGAATAATTGGCTATCCATAGGGCAGAGGTAAAGTTAAGTTTCTACTTCATAACAGATTCTGTCTGGATTAAATACACAAATTTGAAAATTCATCTTTAAAATATTTGAGGAACATTTTCCTGACATCAGAATAAGAAAGTTTCCTGCATAACACAAAACAAAACAAACAACCCTCCTAGTACTCAGTATTGACAAATTTGAACATATTAATATTTTAAAATATAATAATTAGCAAGAAAATGAAAATCACAGGTTGAAAAATATTTTTAATACATATAATGAACAAGTGCATAATATTACAATTAAAAACTGTACAAAAATACCTAAATGATAAACAAGTTAAGGAAAATGGTTGAAGAATAAATTGGAATTATGAATATACATTCAAAAAATTGTTCAACCTCACTAGTAATCAAGGCAATGCAAAATAAGACAATAGTGAAATTTTTGTACACATCAAAATGTCAAAATTTACAAGTCTGTGGAGCAATTTCTACATAGCTAATAAAGTTGAAGTTACCCACACTATATAATAATTCAGAAATTCTACTTCTAGTTATCTATTTGAGAATGCGTGGCACACGCATACAAAAAATGTAAAATGTTCTTTGCCACAATGTAATGCTGAAATTTTGTAAATGACCTCACTAATCCTCAGTAATAGAATTGTAGCATAAACTGGGTTGATTCTACAACCAAATGCTTCTTAGCAGTTAAAATGAAGGCTATAGGTCTCCATTTACTTTTATGAAAAATGTAATGCTAAGTGAAAAAAAACACATCATTTGTATAAAATGGAATAGCCTGTAAAATAATTGAATCTTTATGTCTCTTTGTGCCTATGCCCATATATACCTACATCTATCTGTCTGCTTATAAATCTATCCACCTATCTATATCTATATAACAAAAAACTGGAAATGATTAACAACCTTAAAGAACTAAATCTATAAGACTGTAGTTATTTGTCCATTGGGAAAGGGTATGATGAAGGATCTATAGTAAAATAAAATGTTGAAAGCAGATGTGGATCATCATCATATATTATATTATTTGTATTTGTTTATATATGATGAAGTTCTCATAATAAAAAAAGGAGTCTTACAGTGAGATGCTTTATTTTTCAGATAAAAAAATGTTGTTTATATAAAAACCTGGGTTTGAGTCCCAGTTTTGCTCCTATGTGCTTCATTCTGTAAATGAGGATAATAGAAGATATTTAACTTGGTGGTTTAGAAAATTATTGAGATCCAATGAAAATTAGCGTATGTGTGTGAAAGTGGCTATTATAAATTTTGAAGCACTCTATTAATATAAGGAACATTTGCAAGCAGTATATTGCACATTTGTTTTAATTGTACATGCACATTTGTATATATTGTAAGGTTTTCTTATTGCTGAATTACCCCTCAAAAAAGAATATTCTATCTTAGAACAGACAAAAGTCTTCATCCATATCTAACTAAAGAATAAGCTGGAAAGATTTTTAAGAAACTATATGATAATGATTCTTTTATCCAATGTTCACTTACCTGGACTATTTGGAACAGCCTTAGAAAAGGGAATTAAACCCATATTAAAAACAAACATATGAGTCCAACTATATGACATTTTTGAAAAGGCAAAAATTTGGAGACATTTAAAAGATCAGTGGTTGCCAGGAACTCAGGAGAGAGGGAGGAGGGGAAAGATGAATAGGTAAAGCACAGGAGATATTTTGGGCAATGAATCTATTCTGTATAATGTGTATGATTACTATTCGGTAATGTTGGATGCATGTCATTATGCATTTGTCAAAACCCATAGGAGTGCACAAAACGAAGTGTGATCTTCAGTAAAAACATATTAATATTGCCTTATCAATGCAATAAATGTATCACACTAATGAAAGATGTTAATGATTGGGGAAAGGGAAAGGATATTTAGAACTGTACTTTCTGTTAAGCTTTCTATAGATCTGAAGCTATTCTAAACAACTAAGCTATATTAATGTAAAGTAAACAAAGATGCATAGCATTCAAATTAAAACCACCATCCTCAGGCTCTAAGCGGATTTCCTTTCTTCATGCATGGGGCACTCAGGTATTCTCTCAGGACCTCTTTACTCTTGTCTTAGTTATAATTTTAACAGACTCAGTGTATGGATTTTCCATTTAACTTGTTAGTATGGTACGATCAAGGAAGAAGCAACTAGTTTTTCCTAACAATTTTCAGCTAGCAGTCGGAAGTGCCATTGGAAGGGCTGTCAGAACTAGAGCATGTCTATTTTAAATTAGCTCCTTGGTTATTGCCTCCCACCCCACCCCAACACTACCATCTGGCTGCCCTAGAGCCTCCCCTAGAAACCCCCTGACTTACAGATTCCATTAAATACAGGATTAACACGTTAACACCTAAAGCCTTCAGAGATCACTTTAGAACTGTGACTGGAGTCCCTCCTGATGGGTGTCTTTGCCTTATTTGTTATAAAAAAAAAAAATAATGTCAAGCATGAATAGAACTCAAAGAGGCAGGCCAATTGGTGGAGATTTAGACTACAGGAGAGAGACCTACAAACACAGGTGGAAATGAGGAATCTAATATTTGAAAATATGTATACCTAAGGTGTTAATTCTTTTAATGTGTGTAATGCTTTACAGTTTTCAAAGTGATAATGTAACAGTGCATCATACAGGAACATTTGAATTATATTCCGCATGTTCTTTTTCTGATGTTAGAAAAGAACCTAAAATTCTTTGGAATGGTTTATCTTCATATGTATTTTTCTTTCTTTAAAAATATGAGTTGTCCACATCTCCCCAAGGCCGTCTTCTATGTGCTCTCATGTTGAACTCCATTATACGTATCTCTAAATGTGAACGTTAGAATTGCCTATGTTCAGCTCTGTAGTTCTATGAGGCTAGCAATTGTATATTAGTCATCATTGCATAGCAGGTACCTAAAATAGAGTTTATACAAAGTGTTGAATAAATATTTGTCAAAAAGGTATAACTTCAGTTATCTTTAAAAACTTATTCAGAATTATTTTGCTGATACTGGGTAAATAAATTTGAATGTTTTAAGAACAGACATAAAATATAGAGAACAATCATCTTTATTTTTTTTCAGAAAAAATAATTGTCAACATGCAAGTTCAAACAGTCACAACATTCAAAACAATTACTAATGTTGTTGGATATTTAAAGGGCTTGGCTTCTCCAGGTAAGTATGGTAAAGAATTTGTAATCTACATTTTACACAAAACATCACAAAGAATTGCTCTATAATAATTTAATAGCATAGTTAAATATGCTATCTTACGTGTAACCGGAAGTTTATACCACTCTAAGAGGGGGACAATATGAAACCATGAAGTGGATCTTTATTTTCTTTCTTACAATATCTCTTCAAAAGTAAATCATAGTAGTGAAGGAATCAAAACGAAATTAAACTGGCATGCACCTGGTGAAGATAAGCTGTGCAAGCCAATGTCTTCTCTCTCTTTGTTTTTCTTTTATTCACTGTAACAGTATCAGAGGTATTTTTATTTAAAAAAATATTTTTTTAAAAAAAAATAAAATGTTTATGTTTTAATGACATGTGGGGCTTTTTTGTTCGTTAGCTTTTTCTTAAAATCTAATCCATTTATCTATGTCCTGTCTCTGACCCGTGGTCCACTGACAATTCTGCCAAAGGTTTGCATGGCTTTCGGTTTCGAAGATGCTTATGAAAATGATCACCTGGTTACATTTTAAATAATTTAACCTTTGTTACAGGATGCCGACTGAATCTTGGGCTAATGTTATACAGGCCAAAAAAGTAAAAATAACTGACACATATATTAAGAGATTAATAGCAATACTTTCAAATACATTGTGAGGTTGGACCACATATTACTGTCTGGTGTGCTTGGTATACAGTGTAGAATGCAACAAATTTTTGAGTACACTTGTGCCCCTTCTATTAATTTGTTTGGGACATTTACTCTAGTTCTCCTTGGGCAAGTATTCTCTATGACTTTAGTCAAATTGACCCTACAGTTGCTAACCCAGAGATTTCTGAGATCAAGTTTTATATCCCCTTAGTTTCTTACCAGCCAACTCTTACAAAATTAATGGGAGGTATATATTTCCTCTGATTTACTTATGCTGAACAATTTCTGCTCAATAACAGAAGATATACACATATTTCAAAATTCTTACCACTGAATTTTAACAAATTCCCATAATAAGGATATCTAATTGAAGCACTAGAAATACAAGGGTTGGCGAAAGAAGGTTTATAGTTGTGACTATGCAAAACAGAGAGTTAATAAAGCTATTGTAATAATCATAACCTGCATGTTTTTTCCATACGGACATCTGTAGACCTATTTTTGCCCACCTCTGTATTTATCAACATCACTGCATTTGCAAGTTATTATTGAAAAACCAAATTGTACAATGTTATATTAGCTTTAGGGTAAAAACTTCCCTTATAAAGATTCAATATAGAAAAAATATTTAATCAATTTACCAGTAGTATACTTCTGTGCATAACAGCAAAGCTTCTAATATCTTCTTTAAATCCTAAACTAAAACATCACATAATTTTAATGACTCTGAACATTAGAAACTATCATCAAACATTATTAAGATTTTTAGATTCTTGTTTACAATATACAATTCAAACAGAACTTTCACACATATCTGGGAAATGAGTGAATAAATTCCCAGGGTTCCAACATTTGCAGACACACTACGTATACTATTAATTAAATGTTGATGACATGTTGGCAGATCAAAGACATCGCTGGCTCCAATATCAGTGTGGAAATCTAAAATAGCTTCACACAGTGATGTTTCCCATGAGGTAGCCTTTTGATACCATGAGTCAACTGATGATTAATTTATTCTACACATATGTAGTACTTATTATGTGTCAGGTACTGTTCAAAGTGCTTTACAAATAATAGTTCACTTAAACTTAAAAACAATTGAATGCTGTATGTCCTATTTTTATTCCCATTTTATGGTTGAAGAAATTAATACATAGAGTGATTAAATAAGTTTCCCACAGTCACACAACTAGTAAGTTGAATAGCCTCCTGGCTTCACCATGCCGGCAGGCCTCAGAGTCTGCACACTTAAGCATCAAGCTATGAGACATTCTCCTAATGCGATGATACTCAATGAAGAAGACATTTTACACAAATGTGTAGGCCCACTAAGCAAATGCATTTAGCTCTGTACCAGTAACAGTCACTGACAAGAAAATCAGAGAAAACTCTGGAAGCATGTCTTTAGACTATTTATTGATGACAATAATCAGTAATGTACATTGAGTAGGCATTCCATGTGTCATTGAGACCTTTCTAAGAGCATAGCTAATAGATTTTGTATGATTATATAAAATAAAATATGTGAAAAGGAAACTTTTAGAGTAATTGAATGCCTTTTGCTGTTGTCGATTTTTTATTCTTGAGAGAAAGAAGTGAGGCTAAAACTATAATTAATTCCCTAAATACTTATTGGAAAAATCCATATATAACTACCACATTTTTAATATTTAAAGCTACTAAATAACTGCTCCCTCAATGTATTAATAGTTCATTAATATTTACTGAGCATACAGACATTGTTTACAGGGCACTTCCCACTATGATTCTGGGAAAATGTTAGATAAAGGTTTCATTGTGGCATATTTGTATACCTCACTAATTAATATGCATGTCACAGAGGACAGTAATATGAATCTAAGCTTTGGGTTCATAATTGGGTTCAGCAGCTGCCTCTGCTTTGATATACACAGATGTGTGAATCAAGACAGGGGTGAAAAA